ATTTTGTCAAAAAGTTCGTACATGATATAAAAACAAGGTATGATCGTAACTTTTTGACTTTTTACCAGTCGACAAACAGTCGAATGATTCAAGAATACCAAATATTTATTTTCATGCGACAAAGCTTATCACAATTTCAAGAATAGGTGTTTGTTTATTATTCATTCTATTCGACGGCCGTTTCGGCATGGTCGAAAACTTGCCACTCGGAACACTTACATACCTTCCTTCGAACACTTGGCCGTGATCTAACTGTTCAGCAAATTGACCGGTATGTACAATAATAACTATTAAACAGAATATTATAAACATGATTAACTAACTTATTTAATCATGCTAACCTAACCTTAACTAACTTAGTTAATCGTGATTATAACCGCAAGTCCGTAAAGTGTAAATACTCTATGCATATTTTATTTATTAACATAAATTATATGTTTTACTTTCACACTTTTAGTTCACAATAATATAGGTAATATAAATTATAATATCTAAATTTGTATTATAAGTATACATAATTTTAATACATACTTTTAACTTTTAAGTAAAAGTAGTACCTATGTAATACTTAAATATTTTGATTATAGAACCGATTTCGTTCATCAACCTCTTTGGCTTTAGATACTGTTTATTTTTCGACAGTATATTATCTGCCGTGTATGGCTCACGATATTATGTTTTATCGAAAATCCATTTACTCACGGCCATTTACCGAAAGTTTTTAAACGAGCATGGAATACATGTCTTTAATATTACTCTCATGATAAGAACAATTCTGCAGCGCTCAATAACAGCAGTGGAATATTTATGTACTATTGTACTATATTAAAATAATAATATTACATCGTTTTTGCAATTTACAATAATTTACAAAATGGGCATGGTCGTGAATCTGAAATTTTTATTTTTATTTAATGTTGTATATATACTTATCTATGGTTTTAGTGTTTTACAGGACTCCTTGTCCAGATACCCATGTGTGTAATATGTCTTCATTTTTAAAATGGTATTGACATATCCTAGATTTGTCTCTTAATATAAAGCCTAAAGCTTTCTCCCATTTAAACTTCAAGGAAATTTCCTTAGGTACTCCAAACGTACTGGGGTTTAAACCTTTATAAGAGCAGAAAGAAAAAAACTCTTCATTATTTTCTTTGTAAAACACAATACCTATTATTATGTAAAAATACTTAAAAAATGTGCATGAAATAATTATTTTTAAAATTATAAAAGTAATAATCACAATTAAAAATTAAAATATACATTTATATTATCCCCCCTTTGGCCCTTTCACTCAAACGTTCACAAATCATAACTAATTATATCTTTAATCGTGATTTTAATCAATGGTTATGGTAGTTGTGTGCTTACTGCTTATAAAGTTTGAATTAAGCGGGAATATATTTTTACATAATATTTTAATAAAACATTATTATCACGGATAGAGAGCGCACTTAGTTGGTTCAGCAGCTGATTCTGAAAGTAATTTCAATTGCCATGTGATATCACTTGTGACATAGCCCGTCGGGCAACCATTATATCTTTAATCGTGGTGGCAAGTGCAGAAAACACGCATATAATAATTTATATATCATATACTTACATTGTCGAAATCGTATAGTAGGTAGCTTATATTAATAATAATTAATAAGTACATTCATTAATGTTAGTACCTATGTTACAGTAGGTACAGATAAAACATTTGAACTTGTTTCATACATTCATCACATCTAGTATGTTTCAAAATCAAGGTAAATTATACAGTAGTTTGTAATTTAAAACTGGCATGGATCAAGACATAATAAAAATAATATCCATCAACAGTTGTTAATGTACTTTTCGAAAGAATCAAGCACCAAGCATAAAATATTTCGTTTTAAATATTATAATAAAATATTATATTATACATTTATACGATTGCGAAATATATTTATATTTTATAGGTATGTGACAAATATTTTATTTTTATTTTTATATAAATTTAGGTATTGGAATGGGGATGATTAAAACATCATTCTTCGTTTTGCTGTCTACCCTGTTTATCGTAAAACGCCATTTGTCGCATTTATCACTTCATTTAGGAAGTTTCACTGACATGCTGATAATCCCACTTCTTGAGTTCCAATTACTGCCAACAGCAATCCTGAAAACTGAAAACTTGAAAATGTCATTGTATCTCAATTTAGGTTTGTGCAAATATATCGATATAGTTTATTTAGTGAAGTGCCACTACGGCGTAGCCATGATTTTGCCTTTTTTATGTGGGGATGCTTAACTATAGGATCTCCCAAGGGGCGTCATTTGGGGATGCAGGGTGTGCATTAGCACCAACTTTTTTTTAAAACTCCTTCTTTGGTCTGTAAAAAACAAATATAAGCTCTGATAAGGGTTTTAAGTCCGACGTTTAGTCGGTATTAAAAAAAGAATATATTGTGTTTCATTTTAAACGTTTTAGTTGACACTTTTACTGTCCTAAAACGTGATGACAGACACAAAAAAAAATATAAAAATATAAAAATAAAAAAATATAAAAACATACATCATTGTAAAACCAATACATTCATCGCTTCGCTCAGAATCTAAAATAGTTTAAACATTTATTGGTAACTGAAAAATGCCGTGTATTTCGTAAAAAATCGAACTTCAAACACTTATATAGAATTATTGTGACTATTTATCATGGAAACTTTTTAATTAGTATATGAATAATATTAACTTATAAGGAACCTTGTATTTTATTTTTATATCATTGAATTGAAATTTAACATTAACAATATTACAGTGACCCATACAAGTAAGTACCTATCACAAATATATGTGATTCTATATATTATATTATATAATATGCAGCAAAGTGGTATACCCACTTGCCCACCCCTTTTGTTTATTCCGGAGACTTTCACCCCTCATAATTTCAACTAGATCCAATTTTCTATCTGAAATCACCCTCAAAGTTGAAAATCCAAGCATTTCTACTAACTAACCCAAAGTCTGAAGGTGGACACAAAGAAAATCACTCATCATTGTAAAATCAGAAACATTCATAAAAAATATAATGGGATCACTCATACGTCATATCAGTAATTCATAAATGACTATTGATTACTGTAATACAGGAATTCCCAATCTTTTTTACATACGGGCGCATTTGATACGAATTTGATATCGTATTTTTATACATTTTTACGGCACACACAAAGAAATAAAAACAATAGGTACAAATCATGAACATGGCACATACGTCATACACTATAGTAAATATAGAGTGTAATCTAATATCAGTGATTACTATAAAAACTTTATTATGTGTTATACACGTATACAGACTACAGAGTGACTATGTGATCATAGGCGTGCGCAGCCTCCGGTTTCAGGGGCAGCAAGAGATTAATTCGGCCCATTTTTCAAATTCACCATTAAAACCTGCCCATAGTTTTACTTTTTTTACTATTGGATATAAAAATTAAAATTGTATTGGTTATTTGTTTTTTTGGATAAAAGGTTGTACAGTAAGGTACTAAGCCACTAAAGGTGTACTTTTCTACAAGCATATATATAAAATATTTATCTATAGTTTATCAAAACAAAAAAAATCCTTTGTGGAAATATAATTTTACCGAGGCCCATTATTTAATATTTGCCGGCCCCGGTGGCCCCAAAGTAAGTCCAGGGGCAGCATATGCTGCCTCTGCTGCCCCCGTGCGCACGCCTATGTATGTGATTAGTGATTACCAAATAATTTAAGAGGACGCCACACCCGCATGTGTTGTCTCCGTCTTACAAATGTACAACATAGCAAAAACTCTTTTGCGAGGGACAACTTTTCTCGCACCATATTTGTTGTAGAACTACCAAATTTTCACAGCACTTAAAGAAGAACTTTATCTGTGCAACAGCGTGCTCTTTTTTTCAATAACATATATACAATACAAGTTATTTGCTTCTAAACATTTGGTTTTTTAATTTGCTTATAAAAAATGATTGGATGATACTATTGTAAAAAAGAGCACGCTGTTGCACAGATAAAGTTCTTCTTTAAGTGCTGTGAAAATTTGGTAGTTCTACAACAAATATGGTGAGAGAAAAGTTGTCCCTCGCAAAAGAGTTTTTGCTATGTTGTACATTTGTAAGACGGAGACAACACATGCGGGTGTGGCGTCCTCTTAAGAAATATACTCATGTCAGCAAATTCCCAAAAATAATATTTTTAAAAAAGTTATTACGTTATAAAATAATTTAATAAAAAAATTATAGATATTTAAGAAAATTCTAAAAAATAAACTACTTGACTTATATAAATGTGTTTACCATCAAAATTGTTCTTGTAATCAGATTCACAAATTGGTTATTTTAAATTTATATAAAAAATTTTAAACCAAATTATAAATTATTTATTTTTAGTATTAAATAATAAAAATAATTTTTGTATATTATAAGTGTAGCGACAGTGGCTATAAATTACAAAGTAAAAAATAATTTTAAATTTTGTATATAGAAAAAGTTATGTAATTTGTCAGATCTCGGTGGGACACCCTGTATACCAAATGAGCATGAATATCATGCCTACGAATTTGTATAGCACGTATTATGATATTATTATCATGACTACGGAGGTAAGCACGTGACTGTGGGCAAACCATAGAGTAATATTACTCTATGGGGCAAACCAGTCGTTTGTAGATTATTTTGTCGGCGATCGAATAGAGTAGGTAGTAATATAGGACGATGAATATCGGACGTGTAGATAACTTCAACGTGTAACGCGTAATCATCGTATTCATAACAGGTTTGATATAAAGTTTAGTAATAAATGTTTATTATAGAGATTATTGAAATATAAACTGCAGTGTGGTTCACGCGGCAGTATCAACCGCACGGAACTCTCCGCTATAATATAGGTACGCTTTATCACACTGTTAATATTATTATTTTAGGACATGCGAGTGCAATTGAAGTATAATAATTGTTGAACTAACAATAATATCGCAACGAGTAACACGATGGAACGGTGGAGGGGCAAGGTGGCAATAGTCACTGGCGCCAGTGCTGGAATCGGGGCGGCGATTGTGGTCAAGTTGGCGGAAAGCGGCGTGCACGTCGTGGCGCTCGCCAGGAGAGAAAACTTACTCAAGGTAAACTACTTCGATAATCGACGACAATATATTTATTTATTTATTATAACAACCGTCCAATTATAATATATAATCTGAGACAGTGGCGTAGAGTGGGTTTCAGCTTAGCGTATGCGTTGAAATAGTAAATTAATGGAATCGTTGGGGGGGGCTATGCCCACCACACCCCCTATACTGTTTTTAAAATTTTACTTTAAACATACAAAGTTTTAAGTATTCGTTAATATAATATATTACATTACCTAGTACATAACAAAATATTATATTTAATAAATAAAAAGTAAATTACTTGAAAACTTATAATAGACTGTCAACGATAGCACGCATACACGAGTGACGAATACACGACCACAAGCGTTATATGTCTTGTTATTAATTGACAGTGCTTGATTTGGAAAAAAACTAGAAAGGGGACTCTGAGGATGTTTGATGAATGAGCGTTCCACACAAAATTAACCATCACATTACCGTGGGGGGCAAAGCCCCCCACACCCCCCTTCAGCCACCCATATTCCCAAAAAATCATTAAATGTACTATACAAAAATATTTTAAAAGAAAAAAAATACTTGTTTACTCCTTATTTTTTTTTTTAAACATTAAATGTAACATTATTATTTATTAATTAATTATTCTACAAAAAAAAAAAAAGAAAAAAAAGAAACTACTTATTAAATAAGGTCCATAAGTTTTCATATGAACTATCTTCATGTTTAGAAGATCGTTTAGTACAGTTTACTTCATCAGAATTTCTTTTTCCACTTTTTATCCACCTACTGTACTTTTTCTTTTTAATTCCATTTTCAATTTCTGGTAAACTGGTATGAATTTTTTGATGACAATTGACAAATCAAAATACTTTAAGACTTTAAAATGACAGAAGAGTGACAGTTGATTTTTTCGCCGGCCTGCAATCAACGACGTCATAGATAATAGAAGAATTCTATTATCAAAGTGTATTGATAAGGTGTCGTCACTTGTTTGAAAACTTGATTGAAAATTTTACCACAGACAGCCATCGCCACCGGGAGCGCTGTATGTCCTATGAAGGCCGATAAAATATGAACACTTCTATTATAGTTTTATACACCAAAAGCGAAAAGCCATAGAAAATTGAATTTTAACAATCTTTTTTTTGTTCATAGTCGATTCAAATGTACAAATATTATAGATATAGGTTATGGATATATTTTGCATCAGAAAAACTGATTATTTACAAATTCACTATAATAAATGTTGCGTTCGCAGCGTTCCGTTTCAAATAAATAGAAGGGGTACGCTAAAAAAAAATTTAAAAAGAATTTGATTTCCAAATCAAGCACATGATTATAGATAAAAACTATAAATAACTGTCGCTGAAGTCTGTACCCGTATGCAATCGCCTACTTGCATATTGTTTACATAATAAAGAAGGTTAATCTAGCCACTAGATATAAGGTCCTCAGACTCTGAGATAAGATAAATAGCTGATTCACGCCTGCATGCTTACAGGTACGGTGGCACAAATCATTTTACTTTTTCGGGGGGGGGGGGGGGGGGGGCACCGGGTAAACCTTTTCATTTACCAGCCGGTACCCATCCACAGTCATTAATCATTATGAGTTTTATGATTTTATCATACAAATATACAATATTATATTTACAATTACAAATTAACGACGGAGGGTATAAGTATAGATTATGTATAGATTGTAAATATACTTTTTAAAATAAATAAAAAAAGATGTATATAATTCTTGAGTATATTTTGTTATTAGTCGTGTAACTTTTGAACGAAATTACCGATTGAAGTAAAAGTTATAACTATAAATTTCTTTGCATCTTGAGGTGTGTGTATAGCGAATTTTTTCAATCCTTATATAGTTACCTAGGGTAGATTAAACATGAATTTAATTTTGGCTTATGCAAATTGAATTTTTTGTTGTTTATTTTTAGGGTTGCCATTTGTTACATTTATATATTACTATTATGATTATTATGAAAGTATTTCAATATTTTATTTGTCCTCAAGGAATTAGCTGAATCTTTGACTGATAAAGACTACGGGACTATTTATCCTAAGGTATGCGATGTCACTAACGAACAAGCTGTAATAGATGTTTTTTCGTGGGTAGATTCAACACTAGGAGGTCCCAGTATTTTAATTAACAATGCTGGAGTTTCAAAACTGTCGAGTCTTTTAAGTGAGTACACCAATATATGGAATAAAACTAAAAATTCTCGAAAGGATTTAAATATCGCTTTTGTGATTAAGACGGAAAACTGGAGGATTGGCAAGAAACATTTAATCTCAATGTTTTGGCATTAAGCGTGTGCTCGAGAGAAGCTTATAAGTCGATGACGAAACATAAAATCAATGGTCACATCGTTCAAATAAATAGGTAATTTACTACACTGTATTGGATGTTATACGTTGTTAAATATGTAATTAAAACGAGACACGGTAATTATTATTATAAGCCACTGTTGTCTGTTTTTAGTATCTCTGGTCACATGTTAACTCCGAATTTCGCGTTCAAAATGTATAACGCTTCAAAGCATGCAGTCACGGTACTATGTGACGGACTTCGACACGAATTACAATTAACTGGATCGAAAATCAAAGTTTCGGTAAAGTATAGAATACAATATTTATGACAATTTAGATAATTAAAAACTTATTTCATTATGTATGAGGAGGGTTACTTTTAAATAAAAATAATATAACTAGTTGCATTATTTATTTATTTATAAATGGCGCTAATTTTTTTTTAGTCAAATGTCATTTTAAATAGGTATTTTTTATTTATTAACACCTTAACGAGTTACCTATTATGTAACAAGATAACAAAGTATCATACAGCATACAATGAGGTATTATACCTAATATATTAATGAAGCTAAATCCACAAAATATTTACATGACATTTCAACAGTGATAATGAATCAAAAAAATTAATTTTTAATCTATTATTTTCTTAGCGGAGGTGAGAAGGCAACATATGGGGTGTTTGCTGTGTAATTTTTTTTATCCATTTTCACTAAGAAGGGAGTTACCCGATCTCGTTATAGGTAATATTAGGAACACTACATTTTATTAGCTCAGCACATTCTATTTATGTATTTATTTATTCAATGTATTTATGCATGAATGGCACATCGTTGTAAAGGCGCCTTGATTTTATATGTTCTAAACCTAATTTTCTTGATATATCTTCGATTGATAGGTGCTTATATATTTATCGGACGAATTTTCGTAGGGCGACGGTAGTACTCTCTCGTGGGCCGGAGTATAGAAACTAATAATTTTCCCACCGTCATTAAAAATAATAGGTTATCCGTTTTCAACGCAACCCGTTGCTTTGGGATCCGATAGTTGGATGACGGGACGTTTCGCACACGACTGTATGACTGTGATGTAACTACTTAATATAATATAGTAATTAATAATATTTAACTAGGTAGGTAATACCCGAAATCAAGACGTTGATCATTCAGTAGACGATTCTCTCAAAATAACAACAATATATAAATATACTTATATAAATACGAATTTAACATGTTTCGGAATTCAATATTGGTTATAACTTATAAGCTTATAACTGTCTGAGTTATGTATTCATAATATATAAATATTAATACATCGCGTTTTTACATGAATACTTTTTTTTTTTATTTGATCTTAAGCCCGACAACTATGGCCATTAACTGTTTATGGTTTTTATGTTTTCATGTCGGTAGGGGGAGGAACAGGTGTGTGTTAGTTTGGCAGAATTTTTGTGGTTGGGCACTCGTATTTATCTGCCATGCTAGGGTGGGGGATGGAGGCACTTGTTCTCCGGACACCGTGACTTGCCCGAAGAAAAATGCCGCCCATGACCGTAGTATTGAGCCAGCGTCAGCCACTCCGTCCCCCATTTATACTTTTATCCACTATCCAGTTAAAATAATAATAAACGAAATTATTTTATTTTATATTTTCGTTTATTCGTGTAATCATAAAAATAATTAATGAATAAAAATAAACCAAATTGGTATAATTTATGGACATTTAATCAGTAATTACTATAAATCGAGATAATTTATGTAATGAATTAATCATATAGAATCTATATATATAAAAATGAATGTATGTCTGTGTGTCTGTGTGTCCATGTTACCATGGTTACCAAGGTTGCCATGGTTACTAAGGTTACCAAGATTTCATATCAATCTATCTATCTATATATATAAAAATGAATGTATGTCAGTGTGTGTGTCTGTGTGTCCATGTTACCATGGTTACCAAGGTTGCCATGGTTACTAAGGTTACCAAGATTTCATATCAATCTATATATATAAAAATGAATGTATGTCAGTGTGTGTGTGTGTGTGTCCATATTACCATGGCAACCATATCTGTATATAAAAAACAGTAAGCTGATTGACTGCTATCAACGCACAGCTCAAACCATTGGACGGATCTGGCTGAAATTTGGCATACGGATAGCTATTATAATATAGACGTGCGCTAAGAAAGGATTTGCCAAAATTCGCATTTTAAATAGGTGCTGAAACAGGGACATTGAGATTCACGATAGAAATTGGAAATTTTATTTTTATTTATTTATAGTTGCCATTGGTTACAGTCTACATTAGAAATTAGCATTTATTTATTGGTTGCCATTGGTTATTCGGGCAGATCAGGTACAAGCTTGCATCAAATCGAATTATTGAACAATGCTTACCAGGGTGGCAGAGTTGCACTTACCGCAGAAAATTACACCCAAAAGGAGTTCAACAATCATAATTTTTTTAAGAGTTGCGATTTTTTACGAGCAACCAAATTTATTATATTAATCCACAGTATTACATCAAAATAAACTTGGTATAACTTTGATACTTTAGAGTTAAATCATACACTTCCGTACAAACAGCACGGGGTCCGCGATCTACCGCAGGTAGATTGCCTACCTGATAATGTACTGCTGCGATTCAGAATTTTTATTCAGGGCAACGGGAAAGATAAGATAAATTTTGAACACCATACACGTTAATGAATTGAACAAAGTTTGAGTAGGTAGTATTGAGTTGATCCATTTAACGGGCGACGAAGTGCACGGGATCAGCTAGTTTTTTATAAAGCATTATAGTATTTAGTGTTAAATATATAATACATTTATATAATGCGCCTATATAATATTACTCATGTCGAATGATTCACTGATATCACATATTCACATTTATTCGTAATAAAATTAATTAGTACAAATTTGTTGATAGAATGTTTCACGCCATTGATTGTAATATCAAAGGTACGTATCATAATTTAATATACATTATAATAATTAATAACTAGGGCACGGATGATGTTGCATTTGCAACTTTTTTTCTACTTTTTCCATTAAGTTTTAAATACGTTTCATGTAAGTACGAATTCAAATCTAAAAGTTTTAAGTGCAATTTTTTGCAATTTTTGGGATTTTTTCAATTTTATTGCAATTTTGTCGAATTTACTCATTTATACAACTATTTTAGCAATATTAAAACTTATATATGACTTAAAACCATTATTAAAATCAATGATATACTAACTGGACAAAGAAAATCATTCGATGGTTTACCCGAAGACTTAACAGTAAGCGATTTATCTTATTTTAAATACGCTTAGCTTACATCAACCGACGTAGAACGAAGTTTTTCGAGATATAAGAACTTACTAGCTCCAAATCGAAGAGGGTTTGATTTCGAAAATTTAAAACAAACACTTATAGTACAGTGCAATGATGTACAATATAATACATTTATAATGGCATGATTATAATGTAATGTATATATATTTTTTTTTTTGAATTATTTAGAATTTTAGATTATAATTTATAACAGTAAACTTAAAACATTTATAACAAAACGTTGTTATTTTTTAGTGCAATTTTTAATATTTTAAGTGCAATTTTTGGTATTTTTTAGTGCAATACTGCAATCAATTTTACTATTTTTTTAGTACTACAACATCCGTGCCCTATTAATAACGAAAAAGCAACCGAGCAAAGAATTCCACGTAGGTTACTCACCATTATTATAATAATACATTCCGGCTATTCCATATATAATATTGATACTGATTCAACTTGCCATAATGCGATCTATATTGACTAATATTGATCCAATACAACCTACTAATAATTAATAAATACGGCTAGGTAATATACAATGTATATCTACTGTACAGAAAATCACATATTTACATTTTAGGTATTGTTATTTGTTTTATAAATCTGTTCGAGCTTATTAGTTTTACGGTTTGTCAATATTTCTTTGAGTTAATTACTAACTTACACTTACATTATTTTCACGACGAGTAGGAATAGTGATTTCTGTAATAGTTTATTCTTAATAAGGTCTAAAGACATTGGATTTGGAATAGTGATAACGGTTTGGACATATGTTTTTTGACTTTTTGTATTATACTATTAGAACTTGGAAAATAATAGCATGCTTTAATAATAATTATATCGTTTTAAATATTTTTATATATTTTAGAGCGTTAGCCCAGGACCAACAGCTACAGATATGTTAGAAAATATCACCAAGTATGCCACACATGTAACAACAACGGCGGATTTCAAAATACTAAATCCAGAAGACGTCGCGAAAGCCGTAATCACCTCTTTGGCAACGCCGCCAAATGTTCTTGTAAGTAAAAATATTTATAAAGTTACTCCACAATTTTCAACATAAATATTATGTTTTTGGGCTGGGTATAGATATTTTTATTTTCTAACCGATTTTGCGTAACCCTTTGTATACCACCGTAGAAACGAATAAAATGTAAAAAATTAACTAATTCCCACCATAGGTAGGTATATTATATACAATTTAGGAGCCTCGCTATAGCTATTATTATTAAGGGCCTAGGAAATTTCTTATCTCGTCTTAGCCGCCCGGGTTCTTTGTGTTAGTTCTAGTTGTAAGTTGTACATTTGTGAGTGAAATTCAATGGGCGTATTACTCTCGTGCGCTCAGCACATGTCTAATACTCTAAAACAATATGAATTATAAAGTTCACTTTACGAATTTTACAACAACTTAGTAGTTGTTGTTTTGACAAAATTAATTTAGGTAGTCTGATTCTGAAAAAATATTTGAATTCATCAGAAAAATGTATGTAGATCGTACGAAACACTTTCCTTATTTAATTTTAATATTAATTATGATTTAAAAAATCATATTTTCTAGTTTTCAATTACAGTTCACAATAGGTTACATAAGATTTGATTTGTACAAAGTATTCACTATTTTGTACGATCTATAGACAATTTTCTGTCGAGTTCAAATTTATTTTTGAACTAACTTTAATTTTGTCAAAACTTAAGGTCTTTTGAGCTAAAATTTAAGGGGGTAAATTGAGGTCAAATGGTTACATATTAATACATATTTATGATTCATAAATACATTTTTTCCGAAGTGGAAAATATCGAGTAGCGTGCTACGTTTGTCATTTGTTTTTTTGATAACACATTTAACGATATGTAGCTGAATTACGCGTTTATATTATAATATTATATAGCTTATGTCTAATAACTTTTCTCAACTAAAAGTTTATCGAATTTGGAATTTGAATAAAATTCCTTATTTACTAAGGTACCTAGAACTGGGATAGATGTTTATTATTTTATTTGCTCTGTAATGTATATTATAGTGTATCAGTCATCATCACGATTGCTATTACAAGCCGGAGTGAAACAATTATAGTACATATAGGTACTTTGCATTTTTAAAAAGGTGTAGGTATTTCAGTCTGATTATAGAACATAAAAAAGAAATTATATTATAATGTATAAGAATGGAAATCTGTAGAAAATAAAATTAAAAATTGTAATTCTTTAGAAACTATCAAACGGATATTTATTTCCTTCAATGCGATAAAAGTTCTATTGTGATTAGCACAGAATTCACTGGTACATTCCATATACTATTAATAATGTAATATACAGCTGAGGAAAAAAATAACATCTTCATAATGGTACTACAACAAACTGAATTTTTTTCTAAATTAAATATAAATAATTTACAAAGTATTTTTATTTTTTGACTGTGTTTCTATATATTTCAGGCAGACTTATACCCTTCCCATTTCCACCACTAATGATATAGGTAGGAATATCTAAATTATACGCATCAGCAACTTTGTGTAATCAATATTTTCATGAAAAGTGGTCTATTTCATGAAATGTTCAAATTGAAATGACTTTTTTACACTTCGTGACATATGGAATTCAAGTTCAAGAAAATCTTTTAAAATACTGCAAAATGTTTAAAATCAAATCCACATAAGATGTTTGTAAATTGTTTAAAACAAGTGAGAAAATTCAAGATCAATGTAAAGTGGGTCAAAAAAAAGCGACCGAAAAAATATTGCAGGTACTTATAAATCCTATAAATGCAAATTTAACAAAGATAATAACTGAAACAAGATATTATATTATTATTATACAATATAAGTAGTAGGTGGGGCCCTCCAGTACACATTACATAAAAAGATCGGAAATTGATTTTATCAAAAAAAGTTCACAAAAGTGTTGAGCTACCTATTGAAAAGTGTTTGAGCCGTATAGAAACGATCTTAAGAAACTCCAAAGGTTGTGTAGCGTAGCTGGAAAACTTGGAAGGCATAGTCTATTAAAACTTATTAAAATAAATGAGAAATAATAACGTTGATTAACATGTTCCGGAAAAAATATTACATTATTAGGTATTGAAATATTTGCGAGAAATAATAAGTCTAAAGATAATATTATAGTAAAAATAATAATAAGCAATAATATCAATGTTTAAAAGGATTGTAGACAACGACTTTGAGTTGTTAAAATGATGTTTGTCCTACTGTAAAAATTATTTTATTGAAAGTAGTTGTAAAAGTTGTAAAAGTACCTCCTACGAGAAAAATAAATATAATATAATATATTATAGTGTCCGAATACGATGATATATAGGTTAAAATAAGTTTTGATCCTTTCAGGTAACGATATTGTTTAAATGAATTTTTTAATAGTAGGTAATAATACACATTTTAAACATTTTTTTGCATTTTTATTATTCAATTTTTATATAATTTTTATCTTCTTTTTTTATATATTTAAATGTATAATAAAATAAATTTAAACAAAAATAAATGTAGGTCAAATATTAATATTTAATCATTTATGTGTCTTTTTACACGGATATTCGTCGATATTGTGTGACGGTTCCGGGACATTGGCGGTCAATTTATTTCTAACTACCTGACTATAAGATTCGGGTGCTATATATAATATTTTATATACTATATACTAAATTTATGTTGATAGGTATAATAGTAATAGAAAGTCTATCGAATATTCTAGAAAAAATTTATTAGTTATTAAATACTATCGACGAGCATAATTAATTCACGCACTCGCCGGCCATACTCTGCAGAAATCGATGGTCATATCCAAGGTTTATTGGGTCGTATTGCCAGAACTCTCCCAGAAATTTGTTATGCAAGAGCAAATTGATGCTAAATCATGGCATACGTAGGGCGAAAGAAGTGTACACGAAACGACCAAACGACAAAATTGGTAATAGATGTGAATAATCCAACAGAGATCTATACCAAAAAGGTAATAGCGATTTTCTAAAAATTAGAAATGAAAAATAAAGAAGTTTTGAATTCAAAAGAAGATGGTATTTGGTACTTATTTCCGATTTCCAAATCTCAAATTTTTACAAATTTTAAATTACTCTCTTTTTTATTTAAAAGTGTCTTAAGGATTTCCATTTCATTTGTTTATTTATTTAATTATATAAAACAAATTTTCGTTATGTAATAATATTGAGTGCCACACGGACAGGAATATTCATCTTACATTTTTCAAATTTTTCAGTATTATAATACCTTAATTTTTTTACTAATCACATACTATAAGTTTTATTTTTTAGCTAAAAACAACTTAAACAGAGTTCATCAACCAACGAAACGGACCTGAGATTTTTACTAAAATTAATTTTGTAATTAAATTTTAATAATATTACATTATTAAAATTAAAAACTATAGGTAGACAAATAATATAATATTTTCCTAATATGAAAAGAAAGCTATTTGTGATCTTTTTTTTGTTGATTACACCAATGCCGTAATTCTAGAGTTAAGATTATCGTTAAGATTATTGACTGCATTACAATATTCTTTTTTCAAAAGTCAATAATGGACTTTCGAACTATGCACAAGGAGATGTAAAATGTAGGAATTCAACTTACTCAACATGTTTTTATTAAAGAATGGTTAACTAATGGGAATATGCTATTACATATTGTATGTAAGCTAAACAAGTTGAGAAACAAAATGTATTAAATTTACAATAAACTGTCAAAGTTGTATCAGCGAGACAGAGCTGGTTCCTAAGTTATTCATGTAAAAGTGCATGTCAAACCAAATCAAAGGTTGCATAAAATGTTACAACTGTTGTCAGAACTCGTTTTACTGCTTAAATAAACAAAAATAAAAATAGATTACTATATAGTATATACCTATATTTAAATAATTATATAATATATTTTAGTTTTTTAAATAAACATTTAAAAAAAAAAACAATATTGTATTTATATTAAATTTTACTATTTTTAACTATTTAACTTTCCTTTAGATAAATACAACTACCTAAATGTATATGTATAAAATCTCGAATGGTATTAAATATTTTATTAATATATAATATAGTCATTAGCCATATTGTATAACTATTGTTTATAAGTTGTAATTTATATATAATAATAATTGTGTGTGGTAAATGTTTCATTTCATCGGAGAATGTGAATTACCGCGCATTGTAAAAAAATTACACGATGTGAAGTTTGAATAATCATTTCATGAAAAAATTACCATTTTGTGAAATATTATCGTATTTCACGAAGTGTAAAAAAGTCTTTTCCGTTTCATTAAATGTAAAACTTTTCATGAAAATATTGATTTCACAAAGTAAAATATGTATTATATTCAATGCATATACATATACAGTTGGTACATTATGATATCATCTTTTAGATTCTGAGCGGAGCAAGGAAGCTAGTGGTTTTACAATGGTGTTTATTTTTTTATTTTTTTTATATCCTGTATACAAAATTTCTACCAGAAGGAGTGCTTTGATTTCAACATATAGTACCTTATCTTTTAGAAAATTGGACCAAGATGGTACTTTAGAGAGGTCATTTTTCGATTTTCTCAATAGTTATTTAATGCCACTGGAAAAAGTACTGAAAAATTACGAAAAACCGCTTAAAATAGGATTTTAATTTCTAACAATTTGTTTATCACCGTAGCAACGAATAAAAAAAATAATAATAAAATAAATAAAATAATTAATGACAATATAAAATATACAGACTGACAAACCGTCTCCGTTCAGAATCGTTTTTCTTATACAATGATATTATATCATTGAATTCAAGTTTAATACAATCCATTAAACAATGACCAACTTGTAACCTACTGTACAGCTGAGCGACATCCACTTACCTGCCTTTTTTTAAAATAAAATATAAAAATGAATCAAACGACACATAACACACAGTGCGCGAATTGGGGGGATGCGCAGGGGGACGGAGCTCCCCTACTATTTTTATTTTTTTTTTTGCGTACCCCTATCCTATTTTTTTTTTTACTTGGACGGGGGGATGGTACAAACTAATGCCCAAATAATTTGTATTAAAATGTGGATTTTAATTGAGGTAAATTATACAACGAGATCTACTATTTTTAATATCAAATATTGCATAAACAGATATATTATTATTTCAGAGAGACGCTGTTTAGATAGCTAGTCCACCGTCGCGGTCGTCCGTTAACGATTAAAGTACGCTTGTTGTACGGGTGATTTAAAACGCGTGTCTTGTATTTGGAGTCCATTAGTGGTACAAGATAACATATTATACAAATCCAATATACGTGCTCAGTGGCGTAGCCAGGATTTATTTTAGGGGGGGGGGGTTTGTAATAAAATGTAACTTGTGGAGGATTTCACACTTCCTGAAATGTACTCATAAATTGTTTAAATAAATTATAATATACCTACGTTTAACTTTTAAATATTTATTTAAAATAATTTTTTTCTTTTTTTACAAATAGTAACATATTATGTTTTATAACAGTCTAATGCGGCGACTCTTTCTGGCCATATTTTCAATAACTTCTTCAACTGTTACTTTTACATCACGCCATCACGGTGAATATTCATTAATGCTAACCCGTTCAGTCTATTTTCAGTTATTGTGTTCCTGAGATATGTTTTCAACCGTCTAAGTGTTAAAAATTATCTTTCACTAGTAGCAGTGGTAACTGGTAAAGAAGCTAAAATATTTAAGAGTGTATATATTGAAAGGTATATGTTTGCGTTACATTCGGATAAAGCAGATACAACATTTGTTATGGGTTTTGATTTTATTTGCTGTTTCCATAGTGAAAATTCCCCCAAAGCTGAACGGACATCAGCTTCAATATCAACTTCATAGGTTTTCAAAAGTACCTTAGAACATTCATCACTATTTTCTTTATCTTTCACCAAACAAAGAAAATTACTCAAAATTGATTTGTGTTTTAAAGATCCGTCATTCAATTGTTGATTAAAACTATCCAAAAAAGGAATATATAAAGAGACTCTATAATATGACTCAGCCGAATCTGTGATCACATTTGTTCTATGCTCTTGTTTGTTTGCTAACCTAGGGACTTTTATATTGATATCAAACTTTTCAGATTTTTAAGTTTATCTTAAACCGTGGTAGTGTGTGAATACGGCATAACAGAATACATTTTACCACGACCAAATGATTGTATTCCTATATTATAAATAGGGCACGGATGTTGTAGTACTAAAAAAATAGTAAAATTGATTGCAGTATTGCACTAAAAAATACCAAAAATTGCACTTAAAATATTAAAAATTGCACTAAAAAATAACAACGTTTTGTTATAAATGTTTTAAGTTTACTGTTATAAATTATAATCTAAAATTCTAAATAATTCAAAAAAAAATATATACATTACATTATAATCATGCCATTATCAATTTATTATATTGTACATCATTGCACTGTACTATAAGTGTTTGTTTTAAATTTTCGAAATCAAACCCTCTTCGATTTGGAGCTAGTAAGTTCTTATATCTCGAAAAACTTCGTTCTACGTCGGTTGATGTAAGCTGAGCGTATTTAAAATAAGATAAATCGCTTACTGTTAAGTCTTCGCGGGTAAACCATCGAATGATTTTCTTTGTCCAGTTAGTATATCATTGATTTTAATAATGGTTTTAAGACATATATAAGTTTTAATATTGCTAAAATAGTTGTATAAATGAGTAAATTCGACAAAATTGCAATAAAATTGAAAAAATCCCAAAAATTGCAAAAAATTGCACTTAAAACTTTTAGATTTGAATTCGTACTTACATGAAACGTATTTAAAACTTACTTAGCAATTAATTGAAAAAGTAGAAAAAAAGTTGCAAATGCAACATCATCCGTGCCCTAATTATAAACATTATATTTTTGATATAAATACGGCTGAGGGGGAGGGTTTTAACACCCAAACTCCCCCCCCTGGCTACGCCACTGTAACGTGCTCAAAGTAATAATATTATATGCAATTCGTACTGGTCGAATCATCGGTAAGTTGTAATGCGAGTCTACAATGTTGACTCTGTGACAACAATATCGAAATTCGATAATCGAATGCACACTTGAGTTGGTATATGCAATATAATATTATATACTAATATACTATACAGGGTATTATAATTTGGGCAATGAAGCAAAAACATTTTTGGTGTAGTGTAATTTTTTTGAAAAATTATAATTATTTAAGTAGGTACTTGATGATAATATTAGTTTGAGAGTCTGGGTTACATTTCGTTTTTTCCTCACTACCCTGTGTAAAGAAGTTCCACTTCAAAAAGGAAAATGTACAACTAAATTTGATCCCTGAAATTACAAACTTAAATGTTTTCACCGTATTTGATTTCATAATAATAATTTATTTAAAAAAAATAAAAATATTATAAGTTAAGTAGGCATAATACATTATGTTTGATTTCCCAAATGTTTATTTTGCAGATAGCTGAAATGACTATCATACCAACTGGAATTACAATACAGATGCATTCACAACCGAGTTCTCAAGTAGTGGAAAATTCATTAAACTCGTAGTTTATCATTCTAATATTTGTTTCTGGTGAATTGTGAGAATAAAACTAAATAGTTTTGAATTGTTTAAATGATTATGAATTATGATGGATTTTATTGATTCTGGATTAATTAATGATTACCTATAATAAAATATACCAACATATTATTATTCTAAGGAGAGAAACATTTACTATTTTACTACATTAAGTTTAGAATTTAAAAACAAGCAATATATGATGTGTATAATGTATTAGATAAATATAAAATAATTTGTCACACATATATAGGGATGAGTAGTATTGAAAAGATACAATATGTAACACAGACTCTCCTCCCATCGTATTGACAGTTTTAGATTCTGAGTTTAACGATAAATGTATTGATTTTACAATGATGTGTGTTTCTTTTTTTTAAATATTTTTTTGTGTCTGTGTACACGATAATAGTAGTGATAAATGATGCTTCGATTTTCATCTTCAGTATCTTGTTCGTTGGGAAACTGAATATTGTTGGTGCATTGAGGAGGTCAAAATTCCCAGTCATTTTCAAAAGCACCAAGAAAAACAAGAAAATTTAAGAAAAAACTAGAATTTTTACTCAAAATCGATTTTTCATAAAATCGACTTTGGTTTTTGTTGTTACTTTAAAACAAATTACCGTACATGACATTTTTACTGGTTGTTTATATTTCCATTTTCTATGCATGATAAAATATTTTTATTTGTTTTGAACTGTATATTGACATTTTCATATTTCAGACCCACAACCTTTACCCAAATATGATTTCATATAAAGTAGTGAGTATAAAATTAAGAATTAATTCAGAACAATGGGATTAACAATAAATTATATTGTATTGATGTAACGACACTACTTATCTGTGAAATAAAGTGTGTATTGTCAAAGTGTATTATTTTGTCTGTTATTTATTTAATAACTTTCTTAAAAGTATGGAAATATATTGTTAGATGAACGAATAAAGGTTGTTGGTCAAGAATATCATAGAATATAAAAAAAATTTTCTGAAAACAATATATCCTGATATATTGTTATAATGACATTTGAAAAATATTAAAAATCCTTAGTCCCAGTTTTTTTTAAAAAGCATTTAGTGTTCAAAAATTGACAAAATATGGAGAAATCACGAAAATTAGCAAATTATTTTGAGTTAAGAATTCATAAAATTTTTTCATTTGAAATCTAAGATTTTAAAATCTAATACAAGATTCCTAACAAGATTATCTACCTTTATAAAAAAAAAAAATGTCTGTAAGAAAGTCAAATTAAATTTTTATGAGCGTTTTAAATTCAAATTTTTACAACATTGGATACTTACTCGATTTCCCATGTAGGTAGCGGTTTTCTTATTTTGTTGTGATTCAAAAACGAATAATTGTAGATACATGAAAATTTCACCGAGTTTATTTTATAAATTATTATACTTGATAACATTTTCGAAATATTTTGACTTGTTTTAAGCTGTTTACGGACAATTTCATATTTCTATTTTTTTTTTATTTCTTTTTTTCCATGAATATCAATAAAGTTTTATCTTTTGGGCCAAAAAGTATAAAAATTCAACACAAGGCTCCTGATATATTTTTACAATACCAGTTGAAAACTATTAAAAATATATAAGCACGGTTTTTTTAAGCATTTAAAGATCGAATTTTGACAAGATTTATCAAATTTAAAATTGAATAATTATTTTGTAGTTAAAAATGTATAAAATGTTGAACTTCTATTCTAAGGTTTGAAAATTTAAAACAAGATTCCACGTAAGTAGTTAATTCTGTTACCAAAAAATCTAAAAAATACATAGTTACAGTTTTTTTTATAGTCTATTTAAGTTCAACTTTGGACAAAATTACATAAAAAAAACCTAGAATAACTATTTTAGTTATTTTGTTGTGATTGTGTAATATTATTCGTGAGTACTTGAAACTTCTAAAGTACACTATTCTATATCTATGGAGTATGAACTATGATAGTATCAGGGTTTTTTGTTGACTTATAACGCATTATAAGTACCTACCTATAATGGATATCGTGATATGATTAATTTGGTATTTATTATAGATACCTATTTTAGGTCAATTTTTTTTAATACCATTGATAAGTATATAATATGCCTTTATACCAGTTATACCTAGACTGACATACTATAATATAGCGTATTATTATACAAATTTAATTTAATTTACAGTATAACGATAAAATATGTTGATTGCGTTGACTGTACTTATACTATACAAAGTGTAAAAGAAAGAACTGAACAAAAAAAAAAATAAAAAAAATTGATGTTACTTAAATGTATGACAAAAATTGTAAAAATCAAATGATTAGTAAATAATTAGTATAAAATCCAACTAACACAAGCACTCAAGGTAAATGACCATACACAACGTCGTGTATTCGCAGATTGGGTTCTGGGGCAGTTAGCAGTTGATCCAAACTTCGCTAAAAAAATAATCTTTAGCGACGAGGCCCATTTTTGGATGAATGGATACGTTAACAAACAAAATTGTCGGATTTGGGATGATACCAATCCACAAAAGACACACCAAAACAAAATGCATCCCGAAAAGGTCACTGTTTGGTGCGGATTTTGGTCTGGCGGAATCATTGGTCCGTACTTCTTCCAAAACGAAACAGGCATTGCCATAACCGTCAACGGTGAGCGCTACAGATCAATGATCAACAACTTTTTTTGGCCTAAGCTCGATGATATGGATACTGAGGACATGTGGTTCCAGCAGGATGGTGCTACGTGTCACACATCCCGTGCAACGATGGACATTCTGCGTGAACGATTTGAGGGCATGGTGATATCACGCAATGGTGACATAAACTGGCCTCCGAGATCGTGCGATTTAACGCCATTAGACTTTTTTCTTTGGGGCTATCTTAAATCGCAGGTCTATGCAAATAAACCACAAACAATTGATGCCCTCAAAGTCAACATAATCAACACCATCAAGCAAATTCAACCAGATTTATGCAACAAAGTAATAGAAAATTGGACCACCCGAATACGTGCCACCAAGCAAAGCCGAGGCGGACATTTGAACGATGTTATATTCCATAAATAATTGCCATATAACGTTCTTTAAAATAAAATAAAAATTAGGTATATATCTCACACACAACTTGTTTTTTTTACTATGAAACATCGAGCGTCCTTATTGAAAAACCCTATAGTTGTAAGCATTTAAAGATCGAATTTTGACAAAATTTATCAAATTTAAAATTGAATAATTATTTTATAGTTAATTTATAAAATATTCAACTTTTATATCTAAGGATTAAAATTTTAGAACAAGATTCCGAGTAAGTAGTTAATTCTGTCACCAAAAATTTTAAAAATAACATTAGCACAGTTTATTTTTATAGTTATTTTAAGTTCAAATTTGGACGAAATTACATATTAAAAAGCCTAGTTATTTTATTGTGATTGTATAATATTATTCGTGGGTACTTGAAACTTTTAAAGTGTACAATTATGTGTCTATGATTGTATCACGGTTTGTTATTGACATAGGTGCAAATAGGAGGGGGGCTAGGGGGGGTTAGCCCCCCTTGAAGTTTCTATAGCCCCCCAAAAAACTAATGATTTCACCACTATAATTTAAAAGCATCATAAGAGTTTCAAGTATAGACCTGAGCTTCAGCTCCCCCAAATTTTAAACACTATTTACGCCAATGGACTTATTGATGGATAACGCGTTATAAGTACCTAATGGATATTGTGATATGATCAATTTCGAATTTATTACAGGTACATATTATTATATTTCAATTTTTTTTTTTAATATCATAGTTATGTAAATAAATAATATGTCTTATACCTAGACTGCCATACCGTCTTCGCTCAGAATCGTTTTTCTTATACAGTGAGATTATATCATTGAATTTAATAACATACCTTATACAGTGACCCACTTGTAACCTACTGTACAGCAGAGCACCTTTTTAAATATATTTAGAGCCATTATATTATATGCCATTATAATAATATTATTTTTAATGTGATAAGTATAAAATATATTTGTTGTATTATAAACATCTTCAGCTTATTATTTTCTTTCAGAATTGATAAAAATAAAAACATAATCACCAGAGGCACAAATAATTTTTGCAAATTCAGATGTTTTACCGAGATTACCTATCCTACAGTTTACCCAAATCGGCTGGACGCTACGTCGCATACGAATTGCATGCCAAAAACAAAAAAATGTCCAAATTGCATGCCGTTTCTTGTAGGGGTTTGTCCGAATTGCGTGCCATCTCTGGGAGGGGTCTGTCCGAATTGCATGCCATCTCTTGGAGGGGTCTGTCCGAATTGCATGCCATCTCTTAGAGGGCCTTGTCCGGATTCCATGCCGTACACCACACGTTTATTTACTATGCACTTAAACAACTTAAACTTTTTTTTGGACTTTCCTAATTTTTTTAAAAAAATGCATGTATAGAAACTCTCTTTTATGTATGGTTGTTACAACTGTTTAGTGATTAGTTTCTGGATTGAAATATTTTTATATCCGTGTGAATATTTTCCCAAACAGTATCTATATTGGAGTAATGTAGTGTATTGTGGTCTCGGTCTATTTCACAACAGATTAATAATATTTTATTATTATGAATTATTATTATATATTATTTTGTTTATTTAAATTGTAATATTGTGTGCCCGAAATGTCAAAAAAACCACCAAATTTAAAATTAATATTATTTAAAATACACTCACTTGATTACCCTAAACTACAATAGTTTTATTTAACTAATGGCCTTTGTTGTCGATGAAAAAAAAATAGTTTTATATTTTTATGATTCTTATTCACTGTGTCACCTTCTACAATATTTAAATGTTTTATTGTAATGTAACAAAATCCCAATCCTCCAGTTGAAAAGTAAGTTGTGTATTCGGATATACCCCTCTAAGAGATGGCATGCAATTCGGACAGACCCCTTCAAGAGACGGCATGCACTTCGGACAGACCCCTCCAAGAGACGGCATGCAA